GTGGCAACAGTAGTGAGGTTGGCCCAGGATCGGGCAGTGTTTCGTACTGCTATGCATAATGTCGCTATGGGTTGGTGCCAACTTGATGACACCTAACAACAACAACACCATGGATGGTGGAGAAAAGAAGACCCCCAGTGAAATGGATTTGCACAGTGACAGCAGCAATGGACTCAAGTGTAAGAATTGTGAGTTTGGCTCAGGACCACGCAGTGTTTCTTTGAGTTGTGCATAGGGTCGCTATGAGTTAGTACCAACTCCATGGCCCCTAACAACAACAGCACCATAATGAATTGAGTTCTCAATGATGTTTTCATGTATGGTAATCTTAGATTGTCTGCTATTTTTGACTCTCAATCCAAAGAGCACCCTTTAGCCTTTTTAATAAAGTTGTTCTGGTCAGTACAAATTCCTTTAATATCTTTTGACCAGGAAATGTCCTAATTTTGCCATCATATTTGTCGAACAGCTTTGCTGGGTATATGATTCTTGGGAACCAATTTTTTTCTCTAAGAATTTTGTGTATGTCATTATTGTCTCCTTGTATACATTGTTTTTCTGAGAAATCAGAGCATAGTCTTATTGGTTCTCTTTTGTAGGTAACTTTTTTTTTTTTTTCAAAAGTTTGATTATGATATTTCTTGGTGACTTTCTTTTGGAATCTATTCTGTTTGGAATTTGTTCAGTTTCTTGTATGCTTATGTTCTCATCTTTCATGATGTTGGGAAGTTTTCTTTTGATAGCTCTTTGACAGAGCTCTGTGCTTTTTGTTGTGTCTTCCTGTTCTGGAATTTCTATTTTCTGTAAGTTGTTCCTCTTCATGGTGTTTCATATAATTCTTAGGCTTTCTTTGGATTGTTTCATTCTTTTATCTGATGGTTCTTGTAGTGTACTAGTATTGAGAGATTTAACTTCAAGTTTACTAATTACAGCTTCCATTCCTTTGAATCTTCTCCTTTGCCCTTTCAGCGTATTATCCGTTTCTGAGATCTACGTGTTAATTTCTGGATTTCTAATGGCAGGATTTGTATTATCTCAAAATTTGTGTTTGTTTTGTCTGCTTGCTCTTGTAGTGTTTTCCTGAATTCTTCTGAAGTGTTTTCTGTGTCCCCTTTGATTTCCTCAATCTTTCTATTGTTTCTGGCTATTGTTGGTTTGTTACATTTATAAAAACTAAAGTTCAGTTGTTGGACCCAAAAAGTAGACATCTCTGGTGGGCTCCTACAATTTACGAAACTCACAAAGTGAGTGTGAAAGGGATGTGACAGAAGAGTTTTGGCCCAAATGGACTTCTTATTGACCTCAGTGTTACCTATAGTCCGTAATCTCCCTCTGGAAGTAGTTCGTGGAGGCCCTTGATGGAATTGGTTTTAGTGTCTGTTAGGACCACAGGGCATTTGAGAGCAGGGTTACTGGTTAAATGCTAATCTGGTGGCTCTGATGGTTTTTTAGGTCTAGAGCCGAGCCTAACTGAATACCTAAATCTATACACCAAAGCAGCACACCAAAGATAATTTAAAAAATGGCTGGAGCAGTGCATTGACAGGTAACTACCAGAGGTTCCGGCCGGATTCAGATGGGGATGTGAAACAGGATATCAGTGCTGATATGATCTCCAGCATCATTCCCACCTACTGATCCTTCCTCTTTGTTTCTCCCATTTGCATTATAATCACCAGTATTTGTTAATATATCTTGATTGCATGTTTGATCCTTTTCAGAATGAAGAAATTGGTAGAATTCTTGAGTATCACTATTAATTGTATTTAGTGGTTGGTGCTTAAATCTGAATAATAGTCATATTAACCAGACTTCTTGGTAGGCATATGAATATTATTCCATCTCAGATAGCATTGTACTTCAAGATAGTTGGAGAAATGTTCTTCTTGACATGAATGTGATGCAATTCCTCTTGAATTTGTCATTTCTAGCCTAGTAAACCATATGATTGTCTGTTTCAGAATGGCTAATGCAAATCCGTTTCAGCTCACTAAGGCCTATCATACCGATCTTTATGTGTTACATTTCATTTTGCCAACTTCTGATTTTCCTAGATTCATACATCATACATTCCATGTTTCAATTATTAAGGGATGTTTGCAAGTATTTCTCCTCATGTTAAGTTGTGCCCTATTCATAGATGATGGTCCCAAAAGCCTGATAGATTACTCCATTTCGTCGTCGTGGTCAAATACTGGAATTGAGTAGGCAGCTCTTCTGTAGTTGTATATTGAGTGTCTTCCAGCCTGAGGGGCTCATCTTCTGGCACCATATCTGACAATCTTCTGATATTTCTTCTGCGACTATATCTGTTCTGCTGCTTTACATAGGTTTTCAGTGACTAAACATTCAGAAATAGTCCTCCTCTCCTTCTTCCTAGTCTGAAAGTTCAGCTGAAGCAGTCCACCATAGGTGACCCTGCTAGTATACAAAATATTGGTAGCACAGCAACACACTCAAGTCACCACAGTACAACTGACAGACAAATGGTGGTATGAGGCATATAAACATTATAAGTAAGCATATGATACAATAAATCAGGATCCCTGATGTGGCACTGTAGTTTAAGCACTGGACTAGCAACCACACAGTTGGCAGTTCGGCCCACCTACTTCTTACAGGGTAGGTATGAGTCGGGACTGACTCATTGGTCACACAACATTAGGATATTAAAGGGTACTACCTAATTTGAAAAAAGTAAAAATAAAGTAAATGCAATTTTAAGTAGAGTAGTAAGCATAGACCTCACTGTGATGGTGACTTTTGAGTAGATTTGAAGCACTTATCGGTGTGAATCTAGGGGAGTAGTGTTGCTTGCAGAGAGAAAATCAGCCAACACAAAGGCCCTGAGGTAGGAGAGTGGCTTGCATGCTCACAGAACAGCAAGGCAGATGATTGGAGCAGAAGTATCACGTGTTCTGATTTAAAGGCTGACTGGTTACCATGTGGAGAGCAGACTTAGTGAGGGGCAGTGGTAGAAGCAAGGAGTCCAGCAGGAAGTTCTTGTCCTCATTTTCTCCGGTCCTGCCTGTGACCCTGTTTAGCTGTTCTGTGATTTCAGAACATTTGTCAGGAATGTTGACTATGATGTTTCACAAGAGCCAAGTGTCTCCCCCTTCTTTTCTTGACTACACTGTTGTTCACCTGTTGTGTGCTATGCATTATTCTCAATGTGGTGATATATTGTTGTGTAAAAAAGACCTGTCTCTACTTTGTTGGTGCTGATATTTTAGGAAAGATGCAGATAGTAAACAAGAAAACAAATTGCCAGGTGCTGAAAGGACAGTCGGGAACGTAGTGTTCTATAGGTTGAGCACTGTACCAGGAACCACAGGGTCCACTGTTTGAACTTGACAGCCACTCTGCAGGATAAAAATGGGGCTTTTTGTTCCCACAGAGATTTACAGCCTCAGAAACCCTACATAGGTTCGCTATGAGTGTGGATCAGTTCGCCGACACTTAACAACAGCAACAACAACAACAACAACAACATAAGGACAATTATATGAACTCCCACATGGTGCAGAGCTGGAGAGTAAGAGGCTTGGGGACAAGTATGTTCTTGACAGGGACCCAGAGAAATGGACAGGGACTTATTTTCTCTAACGCCACTCTGAGGAAGTGGCATTAGAGAAAAGACCTGAATGAAGAGCGAACCCTGCAGAGCTGTGGGTACAGGATGGAGGAAGCAGGCTGTATGAATTGAGGATCCACCTGTAGGTGGGTCATGTACACTTGTCTTCAGTAGGGGGACATGAGAATGGACAGCTCTCAGCATAGCCTGTTGCAGACTTGCCCATGTAGCAGCATCTGTGGACTGACCCATACCTTTGCCTATTGTAACTTCCCTGCTTTCTCAGGTGTGGCGCACAGAGCTTTTGAAAATGATATTGATGCCTTGTGTAATCTACGGGAGTTCTTCAACTACCTGCCCCTCAGCAATCAGGATCCCGCTCCCATCCGTGAATGCCACGATTCCAGGTGAGTGTCAGGCCAAAGCACCTGCTCTCATTTTGCAGCACAGGCTGCCCTTCTGAACCCCCTCTACCCTGGCGGAACATCCAGGTGTGGATGATGATGTTATGTCTGGGCACAGGAGTAAAGAAAGATGATTTTATTTATTTATTTCCCTCTTTGTAATATCTATATATATATTTCAAAGAGATATTTGATAAATCCAGAATTGAGGGTAGAACTTTTTGCATCTTGACATGAAAGAAATAAAAAAAACGTAAAAATGATGCAGACAGAAGACTAGAGCAGAGAGGGAAGCATCCAGCTGATATGAAGAGAGGGGACATGCACAAAAACACCCACACTTGCAGATAGTACCCACTTGACCTGGCTTCAATGGCTGGATGATCAGAACTCAGAGGAAGAAAGAAGAGGAAAAAAAAAGAGTAATCTGCTATAATTTGAAGAGCATAGGACCCTGGGACCATCAAGGGAGAAGAGCAGAATGCGAGACCCTATCCAGAGAAGCAGTGACACTAGAGATGGAGGCAGAGATGATGACGTGGGGAGATGGTGTGGCTGGGCACTCTGGACTCAGGGAGGGAGAGGGGTTGTGTGCTGATGGCCAAGGGGCAGTCTTGTGGAGTGTACCCTTTGGTTGTTTGAATGGTTATATATTCCTCAGTGCTTCGTGTACATAAAAAAAAACCCAAAAAAACAGAGGGAATGGAAGCAAACGCTCTTGAAGGATGATGCATGGAGTGGATTGTAATCATTGCAATGAAATGAAATACAATAGATGAATGTAAAGCTGATGTTTTCCCATGTAAATCACTCAATTCACAATAAAAACAACAACAGAGGGAATAGAAGCAAATACTGTTAAAGGATGATGCATGGAGTGGATTGTAATCAGTGCAATGAAATGAAATACGATAGGATTAGTGCAAAACTGATGTTCTCCCATGTAAACTATTACTCGATTCACAATAAAAGCTTTAAAAAAAAAATGATGCAGACAGTGTAGTGTGCCCTTTAGGAAAGGTGTTTATGCACATCTGCTTGGGGTCAAAGATGGGCAGTCCTGGAGAGAAGGGTGTGCTGCTGGCCATATAGTCCAAACATTCTAGTTCTGTTGCTGGGGCTACCACATGATGCAAGGTGGGGGTGGGAGGGAGCATTACAGAATCTGCCAGTGGCCCAGCCTGGAAATAACTGCCCCAGGACTTCTGGATACTTTCTTCTCCATGTTGTTTCCTCTTCACATTAAAAGGCTCTTAACTTGACATTGATTTTTTTCTGCAGACATTCTGCCATAAAGTTGATTTTGACTCATAACAACCCTATGTAGGGTTTTTGAGACAAAATATTTACAGGTGCAGCTTCACCTTTCTGTTGTGGAGTGGTGGGTTTGAGCTATGGATTTTACAGTTAGCAGCTGGTACCTAACCCTCAGTGCCACCAGGGCTCTTTTCTTTTGCAGAAGGAAAATGGAATTATATTCCTTGCAAAGAAGCCAGTTCAGAGACTGCCCTCCACCTATAGGTCTCTGTCTTGGCCAGGAATGCTCTGAAGTAGACTGTAATCTGTCTCTGCCCTTCTAGGGACACTGTTAGTGGCCAACTGCTCATATTTGTGAAGGAGCGTGAAGTCACAGGGCTCAGATACATTGGGCATGGCCCCCTTTTTTGAACATCTGTATTACAGTAGGATAACCACTGGACTGCTAACTGTAAGGTCTGCAATTCAGGCCTATCACCTGCTCCTCAGGAACCCTTACACGGTTGCTATGAGTAAAAACCGACTTGACCACACTTAACAACAACAACATATTACAGTAGAACTGCTGGTGAAAACCAGAATCTGTGTAAGGCAGAAACCTGTCACTGAAGTAAAACTCAAATATTTTCCACCAAACTGAGTCATAGAAAAGTGGTTAAGACTGCACTCTGTCAAAGGTTAGGACGACTTAGAAAAACAAGGTGTAGTATGTTGAGTTTCTGTTCTCACAGGTTTAAGTGTATTTGGGGCCCTTGAGAGGTGTAATATACCAGTTGAAGATATTATGACCCTTGGAAACAGAAGTGACCGGGTAGCGTGCTTTGATCCAGTCTTACCTTTTCTCCAGGTGTTCCTAGGGAGCTCTAAGCATAAATGGCATATGAAAAGTAAGCAGTAATTTTACTATTTGGTAGGGCTGTGCTCAGTGCAAGGAGCCCGGGTGGTACAGTGGTTGAGGCTGCTAACATAAAGGTCAGCAATTCATGGAAGAGAAATGAGACTGTTTACTTCTGTAAAAACTTACATATTTTTGGAAACCCTAGGAGGACGTTTAAGATGCTGAAAGAAATCCAAATAGGATAGACCCCAAAAGAAATTCACTGATAAATATCATAATCAGACTTTCCAAAACCAAAATTAAGGAAAGACTCCTGAGAGCAGCTGAGGAAGAATGAAAAGTTACCTACAAAGAACAGTCAAAAAGACCAAGCTCTGATTTCTCAGCAGAAATCATACAGGCAAGAAGGCAATGAAATGATACATATAAAACTCTGAAAGAAAAAAATGGCCCACCAAGAATCATATGCTCATCAAAGCTATATCTTAAAAATGATGACAAAATAAGGATGTTTTCAAATAAACAGACTTTAAAGGAATTAGTAATGACCAGACCAAATATACAAAAAACAAAACAAAATATACAAAAAACACTCCAGGATCCTCCAATATGCTGTCTGCAAGAGATACACCTTAAAACAAAGGCAAAAATAGGTTAAAAATCACAGGTTGGAAACAAATACATCAAGTTAATGGCAATAAAAAATGAGCAGTTTTTAGGTGCCATTGAGTCGGTTCTGACCCATACCGACCCTGTATAAGGTTTCAGAGGAGCTGCTGGTGAGCTTGAACTGCCGATCTTGCACTTCAAACTGACTTGGCAATCCAGCACATTAACCCATAGTGATACTTATCTCTGCTAAAATAGACTTTAAGACAAAAATTAGCATAAGAGACAAAGACGTTGTATCATGATCAAGGGGTCAATTCAACAAGAGGACATCATCGTAATGTCTATGTCCCCAATGAAAGAGCCTCAAAATACATAAATCAAACTCTAATAGTACTGAAGAAAGAAATAGAAAACAACAGTAAGAGTAGGAGATTTTAATATACCACTTTCAATGAAGAACAAAAAACTAGATAGAAGTTCAACAACAACTTGACTTCATAGACATATATAGAGCACTCAACCTAACAATAGCACAATATACATTCTTTTCCAATGCACAAGGAACAATCTCTAGAAGAAACCGTATGTTAGACCACAAAACAAAGCTCAATAAATTTTAAAGCCTCAGAATACTACAAAGCATCTTCTCAGATCACAACACTATAAAATAAAACAAAATTCAGCAACAGGAAGATCAAGGAAAAAGGTGAAATACATAAAAATTGAATAACACCCTGCTTAAAAGCTACTAGATAATAGAAGAAATAAAACAATTCCTTGAATCAAACCAGAACAAAAACACAACATGTTCAGAACTTTTGGGACACAACAAAAGCAGTGCTCAGAGGACAAATTATAACAATAAATAGACATAGCCAAAAAGAAGAAAGAGCTACAATCAACAGTTTATCTCATCATCTCCAACAATTAGAAAAACAGTAGCAAAGTAAACTTACAGTCAGCGAAAGAAAAGAAAAAAGGTTAGAGAAGTAATAAATGAAATTAAAAACAGAATAACAGTAGCACCAACAAGACAAGTAGTTGGTTCTTTGAAAAGATTAATAAAATCAATAAACTATTGACAAGTTAACAAAAGGAGAAAATGCAGATAGCACAAATAAATAATGTGAGTGACGTAACTAGATATGAAAAGGAAAATAGCAGAATTCTGTGAAGAATGGTACTCCCAACAAATTTGAAAATCTAGATGAAATGGACAGCTTTCAAGAAACACATGACCTGCCTAAACTAAAACAGACTGAAGTAGAAAACTTGAATAGACCTAGATCTATGAGAAAAGAAGAAACTGAAAGTCATTAAAAAAACTCCCAACAAAAAAAAAGGCCAGGCCCATATGGTTTTCCTGGTAAATTCTTCCATTCAGAGAAGAGCTGACATCCATTTTATTGAAATGATTCCAGAATATAGAAAAGGATGGAAAGCTTCCAGATTCATTTTATGAAGCAAGTATAACGCTGACACACAAACTAGGCAAAGACATTTCTAGAAAAGAAAATTACAGCTCATTGTCCTTCATGAAACTAGATGCAAAAATTGTCAACAAGATTCTGTCCAATAGAATCCAACAACTTATCCGTTGCTGATTAATTGGAATTTATACCAGGTATTCAGAAATGATTCAATATTAGAAAAACAATCACTATAATCTATCACATAAATAAAACAAAGGAAAAATAAGACTCAGCAAGCAAGTTTTTGGAACTCATTGAAATAGCAAACTGGCAGGGTACAAGATCAAAGTACAGGAATCAATTGAATTCCTTTACACTAATAAAGAGAGTCCTGGTGTGACACTGCAGGTTAAGCACTGGACTGCTAACTGTGAGGTCAGTGGTTCAAACCCACCAGGGGCTTCTTGGAAACTTTATATATGGTTGCTACAGGGTTGCTATAAGTCAGAACCAACTCAGTGGCGCTGGGCATAGGTGGATGAATTTACTTCTGGATTCTCAGTTCTGTTCATTGATCTGTGTATCTTTTGCACCAATATTAAGCTGTTTTGTTTATTGTGCCTATGTAGTAGGTTTTGGAGTCCTGGTGTGGACAATGAGTAAGGAAGATCATAGAAGATTTGATACATATGGTGTTAGAGAAAAATGTTGAAAGTACCATGAAATGCTAGAACAAATAGGTGTTGGAATGTTTCTTAACAGCCAGCATGGCGAGAGTTCATTTTTCATACTTCAGACGTGTTATCAGGAAGGACCAGTCCCTGGAGAAGGATGTCATACTTGTAAAGTAGAGGGTTAGTCCCTATCTAAATGGATTGACACAGTGGCAGCAGCAATGGACACAAATGAAACAACAGTTGTGAGGATGGTGCCAGACCGTGCAGTGTTTTGTTGTGTTGTGATAGGTTTACAATGACTTGGATAGGTTTACAATGATAGGTTTACAATGACTCAATACCACCTGATAACAACAGAGTGTAGACATTGCTAAGTTAGATGATGAGGCAGTTAAAAGAAAAAGAAATTTTAGCATTTTTTTTCTTTTATCAATATATATTTATTTTCTCATTAAGATGAACCATTGTGAACCTTCCTACAAGACAAGAGATAAAGAGAAATATATTTAAAAAAAAAAAAAAAAAAAAAAATCTAGAAGGCAGTCCTACTCTGACCTACTGCAAAAATAATGGCACCTTCCACCTTCCACAGCAGTCTGGATTTCTTATGTGGTTTTGGTAATTCTTCACAGTGGTCACACAGAACAGATGCACCACAGTTTAGAGTTACAAGGTTTATTAGGGAAGTTAACGGTTAATACTGAAGGGTCTGAAACATTGAGGAGGTGCTTCTTCCAGTCAGGACAATCTTTACTAAGCCATGTCCATAGGCAAGCCTTTGTCTTCAGTGGCAGTGTTACAAAGCTCTTTTAGGGCTGCTGAGGAATGCCCACAGGACATACCACTCCACCATAAACCTCAACCTGAAGGCACTTGGCTCTAACTCCATGGGTCAGTAAACCTAGCTCCCCCAAATAAACACCTGGTGGTGCCCGACTCTGCAAGCAAGCCTCTTTTATTTGCTCTGTGGACTGTGAAGTCCACCATCTGTCTTGTACTCTAGCTCTTGAATCTGCTGGTGCTGCTCCTCTGCCACTTCAACGTTGTCACCGCTTTCATTCACTGGAGCGAGGAAGTCCAAAGGATGTGCTCTATTCCTAGCACCACTTCTTTGGTGGTAGTGATATATCCCCTATTCCTGATTCTGAGATGGCTCATTTAAAACACCTTAGAGTTCCAGATTTTCGTAATGACAGCTAACCCTATTAATCACTCACAACAGAATCATATAATAATGTTTCCCATCGTCTCCCATCTGCTCTTACCCAGACCCCTCTAGAAAAGAGTTGGTTTTGGTGACATTTACAAAGACTAAGTCTAGAAAAGACATCAAATAATTCACTGCACCACTGCTCAGTGCTGAGTTGGATTCGATTTGATGTCAGTGATTAAATTTTGATTATTTGGGTGCCTAATAACACCATGGCAGAGCTTGCTAGAAACTGACTTGATGGGCACATTTCTTGACCCCACATGGGACAAGGGACAGGATGGACTGAGAGCCTGTTGGAGAGGTTAGGTCATAGAGGAACATGTTGCTGAGTCCATCTGTAAGGGAGTGGGCCCTGTTCAGACACATAGACTCAGGAGGAAGGACACTTGAAGTCTGTGTGTTTTGAGCAGTTAGCCTGCAGTGATCTTGCCCACCAGATTGTTGTTGTTGTTATGTGCTGTGGAGTTGGTTCTCACTCATAGGGTTTCTGAGGCTGTAAATCCTTATGGAAGCAGAAAGCCTCATCTTTCTCCCACGGAACAGCTGGTAGTTTTGAACTGCTGACCATGAGATTAGCAGCCCGATTAGTAACCACTACGTTATCAGAGCTCCTTTTGCCCACCAGAGGGCTTGCAGTTTTGTTTTCTAAAGGAATTTTTAGCAGGTTAACCTAACAGAGAACCTGAATCCCATGGTCTCTATAGAACTTTGTGTTTCTAAGCCATCATTCTGGGGTTCGTAATATCTCAGGATGTTGGAATGGGACAGAGTTGTCTTCACCACAGTGTCCTTCAGTTCCTAATGCAGTACCTGGAATATAGCAGGTGTTCAGAGAAGATAAATGAAGGCATCGTAGTTGGGAATAAGCCCATTTTCTCCTCTAAAAGAACACTGAATGGTCTCTTGAGTTGGTATGAGTCTCAGGCTCCATTTCAAAGGGTGGATAAAATGCTGCTTTGGTGACTCCTTTGCAAATCAGTAGAGACAGAAGCAGTCCAATTCCCAGAATGTATCTCCCCCAACTCACTCTACATCCCTTTCTGGTGTTGACTATATCTGCCTCTCTTTTATCTATAGTGACCGTCTGGTTCCTGAGCTTGACACAATTGTCCCTTTGGAGTCCACCAAAGCCTATGACATGGAGGACATCATACACTCTGTAAGTGCTGCATATGTCTTTCTTACTAGTGCCAGCTTGGCCATGTCCTTGGCTGTTGTGTTTGTGTCTAGTGAGGAATGTGCTTGGCCTGTCGGTTCTGATGTTGGGTTACACAGGTAGAGCCTGGGATGAGCACAGAAGCAGGGGCCCCTGAGCAGTGTGTTCTTCGAAGAGCCAGTGAGTGGCTTTACCCACCGTGTGGGTCAGATGGACTTGAGTACTTGAGGGGAGGACAAGCCAGTTGGGCCAGCTGATCTCTGGGGTCTTTAGGAAGGTACTCTGAAGTGCATAGAGAAAGGGATATACCCTACAGTCTACAGTGAGGCCACAGTGGACCTTTATTAGGCACATTTGTTTGGGGCCTTATGCTCAGAAACCATTCATCTTTCTGTAGAAAGGAGAGGCATTCTCTATATGGCACAAACAATTTAGCACTCAACTTCCACCAGAAAGTCTGAAATTTCAAACCCACCCTGAGGTGCCCTGGAAGGTAGGTTTGGGTAGGTCCCAGTCTTGTAAGCCCTGAGGAGCAGTTTTACTCTGCATACGTGGGATCACTGTAAATTGGAATTGACTTGATGGCAACTAACAACAGAATAGAGGCAGAGGAGTAAATGGGAGATCCTGTGACACAGTTGAGGGGTGTTTGTGTGTGTGTGTAGTGATTGGGGGTCTGGAGAGAACCACTTGTACCTTTTTCTTGGGGCAGCTGATTCCATCAAATAGAGAGAATCAGAATTCCTTCTGCCTTATTCCAGGTAAAAATTATAGTATACCTTCACATTAGAATAAAAAAGAAGAAAATCAGAAAGGTTTGATAAACAGTAAAACAATTGCAATGAAGAAAATGAAATGAACTCGACAGAGAAATTCATGTGGGACAAAAAACTAGCAACACCACACACACACAAAGCAAAATGACAGCAATCAGTTGATAACCTATCAATAATTATACTGATTGTAAATGGATTAAATGCACCAGTCAAGAGACAGAGAGTAGCAAAATGGACACACACAATGGAATACTGTGCACCATTGAAAAAGAATGATGAAATCACCTCATAACTTACATGAACCTGAAGGACATTTGCTGAGTGAAGTTATTCACAAAAGAACAAGTATCACATAAAACCACTTTTGTAAAAAATTAAGAAAAGATTTTCTTGGTACACGAAACCTTATATGATGATTATCAGAGGTGAAAGAGAACAAAATTATTTATTGGCATAGGGTAGACACATGTTACCTTGGGTGATGGGGAAGGCAATACACAAGAGAGAGGCTGGCACAGGAAAGATGAAGGTAGTGGGAGACATAGGGAGTCCTGGTGTGGCACTGTGGTATAATGCACTGGACTGCAAAGTTGATTTGAGCTGCATGGCCAGTAGTTCAAATTCACCATCCACTCCTTAGAAACCCTATACAGGGTTGCTATGAGTCAGAACCGACTCAACGGCACCTAACAACAACAATAACTAATAGTATCTGGAAGAGATGGCAGTCATTGCAGTGACATGAAGTGTATGATTTGTTGACTATGGGACTGATGATCTGTTCTATATACCTTCACTCAATTCACAATAAAAAGCTTACAAGAAACTAAGTGCTGTATCAATATTGAGTGATAACTAACCTAAAGCTTTCTTTTTAAAGGCAGTCCTTAAAAAGGAAGCTTCCGGTTAAAATCACTTAATATTGATACAGCAATACCATATGAGAGCCTGTCTAGCAGACTCCCAACATCTCATTTAGATAATGCACATTGACTGAATGGAATTGGAGTCCGGGTGTAGGGCTATGTGGTAAAGCACTGGACTGCAAGATTAGTTTGAACCACAAGGTTGGTGGTTGAAATTCACTAGCTGCTCCTCAGAAACCCTATACAGGGTTGCTATGAGATAGAGACAACTCCATGGCGCTTTACAACAATAAAAGTGGCATCTATTCTAGGAATGTAAGCTCTGGTAGCGTAGTGGTTACGAATCGGACCACGAACCGCAAGGTCAGCAGTTCGAAACTACCAGCTGCTCCGTGGGAGAAAGATGAGGCTTTCTGCTCCTGTAAAGACTTACAGCCTCGGAAACCCTGTATAGGGTCGCTATGAGTCAGAATCGACTCCACGGCACATAACAACAACAACAACAAGGTGGTCTCAGTATTATAAAATCTAGTAATAACCAGTAAATTTATGGAAGAAAATCATGATTATCTCCATAGATGTTGAAAAAGTTTAAAAATATTCACCCATTCCTGATAGAAACACTCTTGTAGACTAGTTTCTTTGCTGAGTCTTTGGTTGCCTTTCTTCTCTTTTTCTTTGGATGAGTAGATTTATCTTAGATGACTGCTCATAAGCTTTTAAAACCCATGCACAACTCATTGGAGGCTAGGATATAGAATTGATAAATTTAGTACACATGGTAAATTTTAGTATACATCTTTTCAAAACCCCAATCTTAATTTAATAGGGAACATTAAAAGTAGTTCCACTAAACTCAGAAACAAGACAAGGGTGCCCAAGTATCTCCACTGGTACTTAACATTCTACTGGAGATATTAGCTAATCAAAATTAGACAGTCAATGAGAAGCAAAAGCTTTGGAGCCATTGCCTACTGCCTTGCTTCCTTGGAGAACTTGTGGTACGGGCAGCAATTTGCTGTGTGTAACTCTGTAATGTACTTACATCTTTTACGTGTCTTCATCATTTTGAATTCACAAGTAAATTTATTCCTACAGGTTGTTGATGAGCGAGAATTTTTTGAGATCATGCCCAATTATGCCAAGAACATCATTGTTGGGTTTGCAAGAATGAATGGAAGGACTGTTGGAATTGTTGGCAACCAACCCAAAGTGGCCTCAGGTAGGATGGATCAAGGGACAGGATTGGGGATAATGGTGGCTACCTAGGACCATGGAATCTTCCTCTTGTCTTTTACTCAGACGTGACTTTCCATGACCAGACGAATAGATATAAAAATTCTTTTTTAATGTTAATATTTCAAAGTGATTCTTTCACACTCATATTTTTTAAGGGCTTATAGCACTATGGGTTAATGTGCTGGACAGCAAAAGTTGGTTTGAACTGCAAGGTCTGGGTTCAAGCTCAGCACGTACTCCTCGGAAACCCTCTACAGGGTTGCTGTGGGTCGGAACTGACTGTATGGCACTCAACAAAAGCACAAGATAATTTCCCTAGCTTGCAAGGTCTTTATTTTTTTTCAGAGATTTGTTATCTGATCCCCTTAGTTAGATATAGGACTTATGCACTAAACTAAGCTTCACAAGGGTATGGGTGCTGGTGTCTTAGTCACTAGTATATATTCAGTACCTTCAAGAGTACCAGTTACATAGTTGATGCTCAATAAAGGTTTGTTGAATTAATAGTACTGAAATTCTTCCCATTCCTATATTAACATTTATCTTTGAACTCTGAAAATGATCTGAGTGTGAGCTTTTCAGTTGCTTTCCTTGCGTGGAAGACAGGTTAATGGCATCTGCTGTGTGTTTTCCACAGATTTCTAGTGATATAGCAGGTTTGACTCACATCAAGGCCATGGTGATTCTTCACTGTGCTCTGAGTAGGATGTGGAAGTGGCTTTATCAACTTTGCTTTTTGCCTCACTGTTTTCCATTTTAGGCTTTTAAAAAGTATGTTTATATATAATTTTTTTTTTCAGTGAAAGTTTACACAGTATATTAGGTTTTCATTTAACAATTTCTATATAGATTGTTCAGTGACATTGATTACATTCTTTTTTTTTAATGTTTTATTGTGAATTATGTGATACTTTACATGGGAGAACATTAGCTTTACATTGGTTACATTGCCATGGTTACAGTCCTCTCCATGCATCATCAACAAACCAAGCCTGCCCCCTGGTTGTCAGCACACAGCCCCTCTCCCTCTCTGGGTCTCAAAGTCCACAGCACCTCCATGTCTCCACGTCATCATCTCTGCCTCCATCTCTGGTGTCACTGCTTCTCTGCATTAAGGTCATGCTCTCCGCTCTTCTCCCATGATGGTCCCAGGGACCTCCGCTCCTAGACAGCAAAGTTAATCACTCCCCTCCTTTTGCTACAAAATGTCTACCTGTACATTTCCAACCCTCACAGTCAGTCCTGATAACAATTATTCACTGTTGTATCTCAAGAGACCTATCCCCATCTCCTTTTATCAGCCCCGCCCAGACAGATTGGATACTACTCAGTGGAGATTCTACCATCCTCCACGCCCTCTGGATCTAGGCTCCCTCTTGAAAGCTTGTAAGCCAGTCACTTCTTGTCTTTGTAGCCCCACACCCCCATTTTGGGTAGCCAATGTCCAAGTTGACCATCCCTGTCTACTCTGTGTATAGAGGGGATAGGAATGATCCTCTCTGTAAAGATTTGTTCCCTTTTGAGCTATTGCATCCATAGGTGTAGGTCAAGTTCATCAAATTGTATCAGATTAGTCTTTTTTTCCTCTTCTTTCTTCTTCTAGTTGATCTCTGATCATCTAGTCATTGAAGCCAGGTCGAGTGGGTATTATCTGCAAGTGTGGGTGTTCTTGTGCAATATGCCCTCTCTTCTTATCAGCTAGACGCTTCACTCTCCACTCTAGTCCTCTGTGGCTATGTCACTGACTCTGTGCCCAAGAGTCCCCAGGTCTTGCCACACTGCTGGCCAACCAGGTCTCCACCCGGGTTCACAGGAGTCCACTGAATGCTGTAGGGCCGAGCTCACAGCTTCGTTGCTGTTTTTCCCTCACTTCCCCTTATCGGTGACGAACGTGGTCACCAATCAGAGCGTGTATTCCCATTGAGTCTTAGTCTTGGAAGGGGGTTTGCCCTGAGGAGACCTGACCACTTGCCTTGATATCTCCTGGGTGAGCAACTTGCTTGTTCTTGCAGTAGTCAGTTGGACTGCCTTTATTGTTTTTGTATTTTTCTTTCAAGAAGTATCTTCTGTTCTTCTAGCCACTCCAGGCTGGTCTGTTTGTCCTTACAAGTGGAAATTTCCCATCTCAGAAGATTCTGGATGGGATTCAGGATTCCACCTATGGTCTTATGTAATGCCTAAGCCTCCTCCCTGGACACACTGCTGCAATCCCATTTTAGGTATTCCAGTCAGTTACAGGCAGAAGACAGACTTACAAGCTTTCTATGGTGATATTTCTGGCTATTCCTTTCTCTCCCCCTCCAGTGTCTATTTTATAATGGTTTGCCAGGGAAACCAAGATTCAAAAGACAGCCAAGTATCTTAACATTATTTCCCCCCTTTTCCCCATTCCATCCATGTCTCAATCCCTGTATTCCAGAGCCCTGTTGTTCCAAGGTTGTACATACATCATTATTTACCTCTGTTCCGCTTAGCCCATACACACCTGCCTACTTGTTTTCCCATCTACCTTGTTCTTCCATTCCCCTCCCCCTTCTTGTGTATTGCCCCCCTCCCTAGCACCCAAACTATCCTGTGTCTATTCCCTACCCTGTGCTCTACATTCCCTTCCCTCCCCTCGCCCTACCCCCCACATCCCGGTAAACAGCAAAGAATCCCCCACCCCATCTTTAGTATAGGTATCTTTTCTTAAACTTTTACAAGAATGGTCTTATGCAGTATTTCTCCTTTTGTGACTAATTTCAGTCAACATAATGTCCTCAAGGTTCATCCATGTTATGCGGTGGCTTGCAGCTTCCTTGTTATTCTTCAAGGCAGCATAATGTTCCATTGTGTGTATGTACCACAGTTTGTCTATCCATTCTTCAGTTGATGGGCACTTAGGTTGTCTCCATCTTTTTGCTATTGTAAATAGTGCTGCTATGAACTATTGTGCATATATTGTGCATATATCTACTCGTGTTATGGCTCATATTTCTTGGGGGTAAATACCAAGTAGAGGAATTGCTGGATCATAAGATAATTCTATTTTCAATCTTTTGAAGATGCGCCATATTACTTTCCAGAGAGGTTGAACCATTTTGCAATCCCACCAGCAATGCAGGAGCATCCCAGTCTCTCCATATTCTCACCAGCATTTATTGTCCTCTAGTTTTTTTTTAAATTTTTGCTGTTATTAGATGATATCGCATTGTTGTTTTGATATGCATCTCTCTAATGGCTAGTGATTGTGACCATTTATTCATATGTTTGTTGGCTGCCTGGATCTGCTCATTGGTGAAGTGTCTGTTCATGTCCTGTGCCCATTTTTTAATTGGGTTAGATTACATTCTTTACAGTGTGTGAACATTCGTATGACCATTCATTTTATGCCTATCTGGTGGTTCCATTTCCAGTAATCTAGTTTCCCTACCCATCTACAATCTCATTTGTGTTTTAAAATAATTGCTGATGTTTCATCCCATATAGATGGTTTTTCAGAAGAGTGCCGTCTTCACTGGTGATGTTGTTTTTTGAGTCAATCCATTATTTAGCTAAACGGTGATCTTGGGAAATAGTTTCATTTTAAGGCTTAAAGTGTCTCAGGGCAGTAGTCTTGGGAAATGCTCTAGTCTTAACCAGTTCAGTAATTCTGGGATTAAAAAAAAATAATTTCAGCTTCTGCTTAATATTTTTCTCCCGTTCTATCAAAATCCTCCTGTTGCAGAATGATCAGTAGTAGTAGCTGGGTACCATCTGATGGTTCCAGGGTAGATGAGGCCCTGTTTCATGTAGACAGTCTAGTAGACTAGTTTCTTCTTTGAGTCTTTGGTTTCTTTTTCTCTTTTTCTTTGGATAAGTAGAGACGAGTAATAATTGTATCTTAGATGACCACTCATAAGCTTGTAAAACCCCAGGCGCAACTTACCAGGCTAAGTAAGATGTAGAACACAAATGTTATAAATTATGACAGTTGTCCTGTAAGACTGTGGTCCTTAACCTTCAAGACCAGAAAACCAATCCTGCAAGGTATTTGGTTATATCTAAGAATTAGCGTAGTGGTTATGAATCGGGCTGCAAACCGCAAGGTCAGCAGTTCGAAACTACCAGCTGCTCCGCAGGAGAAAGATGAGGCTTTCTGCTTCCAATAAAGATTCACAGCCTCGGAAACCCTGTACAGGGTCGCTATGAGTCAGAACCGACTCCATGGCACATAACAACAACAACAAAGAATTATCTGTAACTTTGCCCCGTGTGCATTATTATATATATGAATTCTCACATGTACATGTACATGAACATACACACATATACATGTACCTGGAGTTCTTATGTAGTGCTGTAGGCTAAGCACTGTACCACAAGGTTGGTTTGAACCGCAAAGTTATTTCTTCAAATCCACCAACTGCTCCTCGGAAATTCTATACATGGTTGCTATATATCTTTCTGCGGGACAATGATGAGGCTTTTTGTTCCAATAAACCTTTGTATCCTTGGAAACCATATAGGGTTGCTGAATTAGAGCCAACTTGATGGCATTTAACAACAGCAACATACTCATACCTATATAAATACGTGCATGCATGTTGTTGGTAGCTGCCATCAAGTCAGTTCTGACTCAGCATCCCTATAAGGTTTCCAAAGATACAAAGGTTTATTGGAACAGAAAACCTTGTCTTTCTCCTACAGAGCAGCTGATGGATTTGAACTGCGTACCTTCTGGTTAGAAGTACAGTGCTTATCCTACAGCATCACATATATGCCCACACATATATTTTTTGGTTGCTGCTGTGCAAAATTATATATGCCATGTTGTTGTTGTTTTTTGGTGCTGTTGAGTTGTTTTTGATTCTTAGCAACCCTGTGCACAACAGAATGAAACACTGCCTGGTCTTGCACCATCCGCAAAATTGTTGGTACAGTTTAGCCTATCACTACTGCACTTTGTCAATCCATTTTGTGTGTGTGTGTGTGTGGGGGGGGGTGTCTTCCTCCTTTTCACGG